TTCTGGCTGACTATAGAGAAAGTAATAAAAGAGTAAAGCTAATGCTGTATTTAAGTGAAGACACACTTATTGCTATTTCTAAGTTAATAAGAGTCAAAATCTAGCTTGTGTGTGTTTTTGTGTGAGTATGTGTATTTGTTTTCTAATCACTAAACTGGGTTTAGAAAAGAAGTGTCTCAAAGAGATTTTTTGTTCTAACATTGGACAGAAAGCGACACTGTCTCGTGACCCTCTTGTGCCTATGCCTTCTGTCGGGACAAGAGACAGCGGGGCACAGGTCTTAGGGAAAGTCTACAGAGAACGTTTGACAACAGTGAGCCTGTGTAGCTAATCAGTCCCTAGCTGTAGCTTATCATGTAACTGATAGATCACAGTGTCACCTGTTCATGCTGAAGATGTTTGATTGATTGCAGGTTGTAAAGTGATGCATGTTTACAATTACAGACCAGATTTTGCCACAATGCAGCATATTTGTTTCTTTGATTAAATGTCACAACTGATTTAACATAAAAAGATGGCACACCACATTTTATGTCTTATTCACATGCTGAAACTTGACAGGTTAGAATAAAAGTATTCCTCTTCATTAAATGGTTAATCGCTTACTTTTGTAACTCAAAGTGTGTATTTCTTTCTTTCATACAATCAGGCTGCCAATGTGCTTAACAGAGCCAGATTAAAACTGTGCAGAAATTGTTTTGTAAATAGTACACATATTGACTAAACATTACAGCAAAAACAATCAAATATGTAAAAGTTACTAAAATAAATAAGAAAAATAGATACATATGAAAATCATTGATCAAGACTTAAAAATGTTTGCAATAAATGAGAAGGCCCCTTAAAATCTAGTCAATGTCCTTGATATTTAAAATTCCACAGAGGTGGAAAGACAAAGTATACATGTGGAGATGTCCAACAAATGCAGCATGCATCTGAATTCAAACATCTGTTTGTTGCAAAAAAGGAAAGCCTGTGACTTAGCCACCTGACATCTCAAATTGAAGGGTTGGTTCTTAGACTAGGAAAGAGTACTGCATGTTTATTAGTATTAACTTAAATGAATTCTAGGAAATAATCTAGACAACCTGAGGTTAAATACATATTATGTTTTTTCAAACCTTAAGCTTCAACTTGGATGCCAATAAACTACAACAATATGACATTCTCTTCACCTTTGAGCTGCCCCCCCTGGAAACCCACTGCCCCTGTTACATCAATACGAATGGTTTGTCATGAGGTTAACTTTCAAAGTTTATCAGTACCTTATCAGAGGACTGCGTAACTCCACGCTCACGTGGCACCGTTTATTTTGCAGTGCCCTGAAGAGGTAGGGAAGTGGTGATATCAACAGTTTCTGACTGCTATAGGCACGTACATCTTTGATGCTCAGACTGCTTTTTTCATTGAAGAATAAGAATAATATTGAACAATAAATTAAAAGTACTGAAAAATGAAATCTTTTCCCTATATAAATACATGTAGACTCTAAAAGACAAGTTCACTACATATAAAATCAGTAAATACATAAGACAATCCTGGCATTATAGTGTTTCAATTAAAAGTGAAATAAGCACAATTTTTAATGGTGCCTAAACCTAAACCTCCTGCTTGCCTCAATTCAGTCCAAACATCAGTGCCAGCCACGTGTTACCGCTAGTGCAGAAACCTAAAATATTCATAGTGTTCTTGTCAGAACACATTTCTGCAGCCTCACAGCACAAATCTCTGCAGAATGAAAGAATGAATGGGCCGCCAGACTTTACAATATGAGTCAGCAAAATTAGGACCGCATCCTTTGTCTTGGAATGACTAAGCGCACGCACTCACTCACTCACTCACTCACTCACTCACTCACTCACTCACTCACTCACTCACTCACTCACTCACTCACTCACACACACACACACACACACACACACACACACACACACACACACACACACACACACACACACACACACACACACACACACACACACACACATACATTGGGTTGTGCTGTAGATTCAACACTTGATGAGATTAGTTAATTCAGAGAAGATGTTCACCTTCCAAAATGATGTTTTGGTTTTATTGTCACATATGTACGACAAAACTGAGCTATGTGCTGACTATTAATTCCAATTTGTTTTATCTGCCTATACAATTAATTAATTATACTAAAAGGTATATGGCAATATAATTCTAGATATTTGTATTTAGTTTGTCAATTTATTTAGTTACTTACCAATTTTTGGGTCCAAATCCAATTCCTAATACCACCTATGGTGGCTGCTGATGGTTGGCTGCACTCCATCAGCTGTAATCACCACTTCCCTGTCTGAATCTCCAGACGCTGTGCTGAGGAGATGGACTATCTTTGTGCCAGGGATCTTTATTCAACTTTGCTGACAGTCACGAAAATGCTGACGTCAGATCCTAAAAGAGCTTTTGTAAAGACAAAACTGACAATTTGAGTGAATGAGAGACACCTTAGGGTCAGCTTTGCTGATTTGGGGTGCGCACTTCATGAGTTAAAGTTTGGAGGTCGCATTCTGATGCAACAGTAATGGCACGCACTGTATGTTACTTAGATATGTTTTATTGAAAACATCTTTGTTGATATGACATTAGCGCTGGTTGGTTTCCTGGCATGTCTGTATGGAGGCACTCCATCCACAACAGCTACACATAGACATGCCTATGAAAGAAATAGGGGTGAAATATGATACAGGTGGCAATTCTTGGAAACTTGCCATTTATTTTCTTGCCAGCAACAACTTCTTTCACCTTGTCAGGAATGTCACCCCCACACAGAAGGAAACACAACGTGTCAGGGGAATAATACCAGCACAAGAGCTGATATAAAGAGATTACTTTGTGTTGATAAACCTAATCTGTGTTGACTGGACCCCTGGCTATGGTTGTTAACACCGTGGCTTTCAACACAATGGTCAGAGTGCTTCCCAGGCTATAGTTTAATGGTCTTGTGCTTTGGTAACTATTATATTTTATTTATGTATTTATTTGTCTGTCCCAGTGAGACAAATCTATTTTACAGGGAAAAAGGCCAACAATTAGCCGCCCCATAGTAGAGTTCCGATTAGCACATATTTGAGTAACATTAAAAATGATCAAAAGAATAATGAGGAGGAAAATTAAGGACAGTATAGCCTTTGCATCTCTATTAGCTAGAATAATACTACTAGAATGGAAATCCTCGTTAGCACCTAAAGCATCTCTATGGCTTAAAGATTTTATGTTGTATCTGAACTTGGAGAAGATTAAATATGACCTCATGGGCTCATCAAAAATATTTGAATCTGTCTGGGGCTCTGCGATAGCCCACATAGCTGAACTAAAGACACTAAGTTAAGAAGGAAGGGGTGACTTTTTTAAATTTATAATGCATGTATGTATGTGTACGTGTACGTGTATGTATGTGTATGTCTATATAGCATATGTATGTGTATGTATGTATGTATATATGTATGTATATGTGTATGTAAATGTGTGGGTATGGGTGTATGTATGTACATAAATATGTGTATGTGTATATGTGTGTATATATATGTGAGTGTGCGCTGTATGTATTATTGTTATAAATCTTTATTTCTTTATTTGTTTTAATTCTTTTTTACATTACTTTATTTTTACCTATTTATCTACTTTACTATGTAGGACCGGGAGGGTGGGGGGAGGAAAGAAAAATGGGAAAAATATACACCGGAGTATAATGTGACTCATTGTGCCTGACTCAATAAAACAATATATAATAATTTTTTTTAAAAGATCAAATCTGCACACAGAGCACCTGGACTCATTTGATTTTGTCACAGATCTAAATGTATTAGGGATTACTCTGTTTTAAAGCTTAAGATCAGTTTGTACTTCCATACAGTATAGGTGCAGAAATTCCTAAAGCTTTATTTCCTAATGCATTCATTTTTCTGAGTTTAGGCTTTAAGAAACATCGTCACTGATTAAAAAACATATAGGTAATTTAAAAAAGTATACCAATAGTTGACCATTTCTGTCAACAACTATCTCATACATTTGGTGGCAGGCTTTCACAAACCAGTTTACACTCAGACCCAACAGTCACACAAACTCCCCATGCAGGTAAGGCTGGCTGACGCATTGGCAGTGAAGTGATTCTTATCCTTTAATCTATACTGACGTACTGAGCTAGTACATATAGTCAAGGCAGGTGAATGGCTCCTTCTTTCTCGAGACAACATGTGCAGTCGTGGAGAGGGTTTAGCCTGGATGTTCCTTCATAATTGACATCAAAAGACTTTGTGTTGTCATGACTCACAGAAAATGGGGGGATATGACTCAACTGAAATAAATGTGGCTCAGTGGCAGCATAAATTAAACAGCTAATGGATTCAAAAGACAAGAGATGCAAAATTAAAAATATAGACCTTCATATAGACATGATAAGCTAAGTCAGAGGAACAATTCTGGTCCGAGGTTACAACAAAGTCCAGGTTGGACTTAGCTCAGCAAGCATCCACCCTGCAGTGTCATTAGTCGTACTGCTGAATCTGACAGGAGCTATTTTAATGATATTTTAGCCAAGAAATGTATACTCAAGTGTGAGGAGGACCCTCACTCATCTCTTAAAATATTGTTATCATGTATTTTCATTACTTTGTTCTTTCCATCCTGCATCCTCATCCCGTAGTTTATTTAACTTGAATCTATTTTATATTTCCAAATGATCTCCCCTTCCTATAAAGCCTTAACCGGGGCCTACAGCTGGAAAATAGCAATCTGCAAAAACCTGGTAAATTACATCTATCCTTAAATATAAGGTTCATGTGTTTGTGCATTTATATGTCTTGTTCAAATAAATAACATAACATACCATAACACTCTAGTATTGCTTATTTTATTCAGGGGAAATGGGGAGGAGCTGGTGTTGTAGGACCGCCCACCGGTGGCTAAGTCACGGGCAGCGTGTCGGTCGCACAGCTTTTGTCGGGAGCGCGCTTTACCGTCACATCCGGCCATTTTTTCTATTCTGTCAGAGCAAGCCCGGAGCAGACCGAGAGTGGACGTGTTTCTCATACAGAGCGGAGCAGACATCTACTACCAGTCCGAAGAGCCGAGCCTGTAGTCGCGTTGCGTCTTTGCTTTGACCAGAACCAACCAACTCTGAATTTGCATTAAATATGTCTAATATCGTTTGCTGTCAAACGCCTCAGGTAAGACATCTTTCTCTTAAAAAATCAAAGAAGAAATGCTGTTGTATTTTTAACGTGCTGTTAAAATGTGACCAGTCGTCGGTTACAACGGACGGTAATGTGTCTGTCTTTCTGCTAAATATTCTTTACATGAATGGCAGATGCTGTCTTTGCTCGTACATGGTGAAAACGGCTGGAAATGCCAAATGTAACGTTGCTGGCGCAGAGAATGTCACAAACAGCAGCTAGCTTTTAAATATAAGTGTCCGTCAACGATTTATTTTGCAAGCTAACGAAATCATGAAGCCAGTCCTAGCTTTGAGCAATAACAAGTGCTCACGACCGAATACATTTGCCACAATCCAATTTATTGAAATCAACCGGTGTGGCTGTCTCATGGCTTCCCATCCTAGCTAAGCAGCAGGTTGTCTAGCTAGAAAGCTAACATGCAGTAGCTTTCCAGCGTGCCATCTCTCTTCAGTTGCTAACTGCTTTGCGTCAACGGTATGCCTTTAATATAAAGTATACCTGCTTTTGTAATCCTTATAAAAGTCGAGATAATAATAATATTTGGTGGACTCTGCTTCCTGACCCAGTTTCATGTGGCGGGATGTAGCTGTATGATTTCTGGCCCGTCGCCAGACACCACGGCCCTGGTACATTACTCCACCAGAGGAGGAGGAGGCGGCAACAGCCGGAGAATGACATTGCTTTGCAGCGAATGGTGTCCAAATGTAAGACTCACCCATTGGGAGGTGGTAGGGTGGGTAGCGTAGTGGTATGGGTACACCCTGTCCTTTACCCACCCTACTTTGGTGCCATCGTCAGATTATATGGGCTGTTAACGGTCTTGACATAATATCGATGCGGCAAAGTGTCTGTCGAGGTTTAGTTGTATTTAATTGAGTTTCTACTAAAATGATTGTTCTCTGCCGATTCTTAACGTTTTATTTCCACAAATGCTTCAGTCAGTGTCTTCCGGCTGCAGGTTGCCCTATGCCATGGTAGTATTTGACCTACTACGCTTTTAATCCGTTTCTGAAGCTGGTAACCTTGTGATAAATGTAGTTTACTGTAGATTATTGATTAAAAAAGGTGAAAACTATTTTTGACTTATTCAGTAGATGATTAATAACACATCATTATCGTTTCGTTACTCGGAAAAATGCAACATTTTACTTTCTATAGACAAACAACCTTTGCATAATTCAGCTGTCTCCATTTTTTTTATTGTCACAATTTTAAAGGGAACCTTTTTCAAGATGGGTTACATGTAACTCTGTTAATTTCCACGCCGTAGAACTGGGTGAAATATCCAGCAATGCTTCTCTTCACCACTGGAGGGCTGTCTAACAAGCATTGATTGTTCAGTAACAGGCCTGCACTTTTGTGACGGACTAATCAGATGGAAAAATGGAGAGGGAAAAAACATTCAGGGCTACCCTTTGTGACAAAGTTGTGAACGTCTCACTTTGGTTCCTTTTGTTCTCTCCTGTGTTTCCAAGCTAACAGCCACATTTACAACTCACCTAGTCTGCCTGCCTTTTTTGTCCTATACATTTCTATATGTTTATTCTTATATTTCTATAAAAGTTATTATCCTGTTTTCAGATTTATGGACCCAAATACTGTGTCCACATACATGGAAAAAAAGATCAACAGATTCCCTAGAAGAAAACAATTTAATAGTCAGCGTGTAATGCTGAATGTCACAGTTTTGATGTAGCCAGACATCATTCCTAAAATGTCCTTTTTTAGTTTCTTTCACCTACTGCACACTGGCTATTGCTAAAATTGTCCTATCATAGCAAATATTTTTAAATCACAGCTGTCATTTAGTTGCCAACTCTCCATTGAATAATTGTCCAGATAGCTGGGGGCGTGGCTTGACTGGCAGAGTGTTTTGTTAGGTGGAGAAATGAGGGGGGAAGGAGACAACAGGCGAGCGTAGAGCCCAGCCATGTGGAGGAGTCGAGCTTTTGAGCTTTAACAAAGAGTCTTCTGCCAGATGTTGCATAACGACAAGAAACTGGGTCAGTGTTTCCTCCATCCACACACGGCATGAATTATAGCTTTCAATGCTCTTCAGTGCAATACAAAAATACCATATTCTAGCATGTGCCATCATGCTTGAGCATTTACCCATAAAATCTCTGGCATACTTGCCAGCAGTCTGCTAGTTTTACACATCCTCCTTTTACTCGTCTAAGCAAAGCGGGATGTTCAGTGTGTGTTTAACTTTTCTCCCTCTGCACATGATTAGCAAAATAAATGCAGGCTGAGGATAGTAATCGGATCCGAACATAATTCCCCCTTCTGATTCTTTTATGATTACTGAATTCACAATGTGGTTTTTAGTTTAGTAGGTCATTGGCTTCAAGTGTTTTGTTGTGGTGTTGATTTGGCACAGCACACACATTTAATTGTGCATTGTGGGGGATTTTAAGTATTGGATTTGTGGCAGTTTCAGATAACAGGCATAGCATTTAATTTTGCGAGGAAGGTTAGATCTGGTGTCTTATTCGTGTACAAAGTGTAGTTGTTGTTGATCATTTGATAATAAGCCATAGCTCACGGCAGAAGAAAATTACTAGATTGTTTTCCAGCTGAAGTTACATACAAACATTATTTCAGTGTAAAGGAGCCATTCAGACATTGGGCTTGCAAGATTTTCCTTTAAGACATTTTTTTTAAGACATCTGATTGTGGATAAGATGATCATTTTTTTATATTGTCTGTCATACTAGCACTGCAACTACGCCTTACACAGTTGTAGACCAAGCTCTTGCAAGGTTAAATATTACTTCAAAGTTAAAGGGCATTCACGCGTCGCCAAGTTATCTGAAAACATGATTGCACAATGATTGTACAATGATTCACATGCTTCCACTGAATGTGCCACTGGCAGCACCTTGACTCGCACCTACAGTGCATCATATACTTGTGCAGTAATTAAGTAAATCAGTCTTTTGTAATGAATTAGAAATGCATGCAAGTTAGATATAGAACACTCGCAGAAAGCTATCTGTCCATGAAAGCCTGGTCACATGCAACATGGATACAATTTCAGACTACGGGCAGCTGCTGTCGTCTGTCTTGCCCCATTTGGTATAGTGATAAAACTGTTGGGCCTGCAGTGGAATTTATTCACTGAGCCTCTCACTGCAGATGGCATAGCGGTGAGGAGACGTTGTTTGGCATGGGATCACGTCAGTTGTGTTAATTTTGGCTGTGAACATCTGATTGGAACAATGTTTTTTACGGCTAGTGGAATATAGATATAGGAGGATCTCCTCTCTCTTCGATTGTGACAGTGTCACCATACTGCATTTCTTACAGGTCAGTGCTTGAGTGACATGGTTTCTATAGGGAGGAGCCAGTCAGAAGGGCTTGTCATATAAGCTAGATTTTGAGTTTCTTTGCTCCAGGGAGAGTGGAGACAGAGCTCAAGGTATTAGACAGATGAAATGGTCTAGCTCAGCCTGTCGGGACGCATCAGCAGGTGTGGAGATTTAAAGCGCTAAATGAAGGGTGTTGTAAGGTAAGAGAATCAAAGGCCTGGGCTTAGATACATGCTGTACACCTTTTGGTTTACTGCATATTGAGATGAAATGCTGGATTTTCTTTTCTTCCTGAATCCACTGAGGATAATATGGTCAGAAGGAGCTACTAAGAATCCTGAATCAGATCAACTGTGCTTGTATTGTGTATGCATGTGGGGAATATGAAAACATCTAATGCATGTTTGGAATATAGCTGGAAGGATGCTAAAGGGGGGGGGTGGTATCTGTGTTCTCAAATGTGATCCCGTGTGCAAGGTTGCCTTGATATACCACGTGGTAGAACTGACTCATGCTAGCATTGCATGGGTGCCAAGAATAGGCTGTCTGTCCACTCAGAAAAAACAATTAACTTTGTGTACCATTCTCTGTTTTCTCCTTTTCTTCTAGGTTATAATGTATTACCAACACAGAATAAGTACAACTCTATAGCCAACGGGATCCCGAGGACTTGATTACAGTCGCTTCAAGCCTGATAGTTTGTCCGTGCGGCTGCTCCCCCTCTCCCTTCCACTCGAGCCTGTTTTAGTCAACTGGCATTTCTTCTAACGACGTCCCCTCTTCGGATAAAGAAGACTCGAGTTCCGCAGTGATCTCAGTTTGCTTTGCCTGTATCCTACTTTCGACTGGATTTGCAATATACTCTATTCGGTAAGGCCATGACTAATGCGTGGGACTGATTATAAAACACAATGCACATTACAGGAAACTAATCCTAATCCTCTTTGGTCATCAATTAATAAAGACTGCTATTACAATATTCCATGGCTGAAAGCATGTTGGACAGAGTGCAAAAGACAAGCCTGCTGAGTATTGTTGCTGATCTTTTTTTTAAAATAATGTTTATTTTTGCTCTACAGGCATACCATTTAAAAAAAGATTCACCAAGATGATTCCTAACGGTTATTTGATCTTTGAGGATGAGAGTTTCCTGGATTCCACCGTTGCCAAAATGAACGCTCTGAGAAAGAGTGGTCAGTTCTGCGATGTGAGACTGCAGGTACGCTCAATGCAAACACACACTTACCCTTTTTAGCTACAACGTAGTGAATCACAAAAATGACAACAAATTTAAAGTAATACAAAAACCATTTGCAACCCAGAAGATATCATTAACCTGTTAGGCTCAATGTAGGGCTGCTCGATTATGACAAAAATCATAATCTCAATTATTTGGGTCAATAATTGATATCACGATTATTAAAAAAGATTATCCATTTACTTTGAAAACATCCATTTATTGGAGAGAAAAAAAGTGAACAGTATGTTTTTAACAGTTGATTCATTCAATTCAACTGAAAAACAAATAATTTATTTAAAAAAAATTGTTTTATTTCGATTGTTGTTTTCATAATCGTTGCAAGCAAAAATCGTAATTGCGATTAAAAATACGATTTAATTGAGCAGCCCTAGCTCAACGTATTGTTTGGCCATTGGTTAGTTCACTGGGGTAACAAGAAAAAAACTCAAGTATTTACTTAAATGTTTCCTGTTATGTTGCCGTTGCTCTATTTCAAGTGTGAGAACCTGTTCCCACCATTTGTATAGTTCAGAACTCTGAGAGACGTATGCAGCCAATAGGAAACAAGAGATAACTATTAATCGTGTAGCTTCTCAGCCAATATTGGGTTTGTTTCTTTAGCTTCTTTAAATGCTCAAACACCACAATTCTAGCAGTTGTTTGTCTGTGACAAAATTACACACATCCTGATTATTTGTCTTCTTCTTTTTATTAGGTGTGTGGTCATGAGCTGATGGCTCACCGTGCTGTCCTGGCTTGCTGCAGTCCCTATCTGTTTGAGATCTTTAACAGTGACATTGAGCCTCACGGAGTGTCTCATGTCACTTTTGAGGACTTGGACCCAGAGGCTGTGGAGATCTTGCTCAATTATGCCTATACTGCCCAGTAAGTAGCACCTTTTGCCTCTGATCCTATCCTATCATATCAAAATTCTCAGCTTCTTTTAAATGGTTGACAACCCCCTAATTGGTTGTGTCTTCTCTGTGTAATACAGGCTAAAGGCAGATAAAGAACTAGTTAAGGAAGTTTACTCTGCAGCCAAAAGGTTCAAGATGGAGCGAGTCAAACAGGTATGTTTTTAACGGTCTACATTACAGGACACGCCTTTAGGAACACAGCTTACAAACAGATGTTTTAATAAATGTCCACTTGTCCCTCACTTCTCAGATTTGTGGTGACTACCTGCTTTCTAAAATGGATTCCCAGAGCGCCATCTCTTTCCGTAACTTTGCCAGCTCTATGGGAGATGCCAGAGTTTTGGCCAAGGTGGACGCCTTCATCCAGGACCATCTACTGGAAGTGTCTGAACAGGAAGACTTTCTCAAACTCCCCCGCCTCAAGGTACTAGCTTAAATGTGCACTTATGTCATTTAAATTGGCCAGGATTGGTGGTCTTGAGTTGAATGACACGCACTGGATTAAGCTCTGTATTTTTACCTTTCCGACATGAGATTAACATGGCCTATAGTAGGAAGGTGTGCCTCTTACAGATTTCCCTTCAGCTAAAGCCGGCTGAGGATGTATTTAGGGCAGGGGACTTATGGGGGCATATGCAATAGTAAGGCCGAGCCCAGGTGGGTTATAGTGTACATGTTTTTGTTCAACATGACGATTGCGCAAGGTACTTTATCAGAACTCACTTGTTGAGGTAGTGCAAATTTGATCAATCAAATATGCATGCTATTCATTAATATTGCTGATGTCCGTGTGTAAGGATACAATGTTTAATCCTGACCCTATGGCAACATTAAGGGATTATACAGGTAACATCAGCCAGTAAGATCAAGTTTAGTTTACAATAGGGGTCATTATGTTATAAATTGTTCTGCTACGGAGTCTCTTTATTCCTACTGTGTGTACATCTGACTCCTGTTTCATTCCCTTTGTGTGTTTACAGTTAGAAGTAATGCTAGAAGACAACCTGACCCTGCCCAGCAACGGCAAGCTCTACTCCAAGGTGCTCAGCTGGGTGCAGCGCAGCCTCTGGGAGAACGGGGACCACCTGGACCGCCTGATGGAGGAGGTCAGTACCCGGGCGAGCAGGCTCCACTCTCAGACTGATCCTCATTCCCACCCTGCCCCTTCCCTCCCCTCTGAATCCTGTTTTTGACATTAAGAAGTCATTAAGGGGGCTGAAGTAGAAAAAGCATGCCATTGTCATGCTGCTATGTCAGGATTGTTCTTTTTGTTTCCTCTGGTTTGTTGAGGTTTTTGCAGTAAGAAACTCTGTACCCCTGAACCATACTTCAAATTAGAGGTGAGCCCAAAAGAGCTGCGTTTGCTCTTGTTTTTTGTTTCCACTGTTCTCTTTTGGGTCTGTGGTTGGTTTATGTGCAACCCCATCGGAGTACGAGTATCTCAGTGCTCTTCTCCTCTGATACACAAACCCAGGTTCTCACAGAGGTGACCCTTTATTCACTGCCACTTTACTATCTGAACAGGTTTGTTGCTCCAGCACTAACAGACACTCCTCCCCGTTGATTTATCTCTCTTGTAGGTTTATTAGCAGCAGCAGGAGACCAGACTGAAGAGCCACGACTGAGCCACCAGGGTAATGAGTCTGAGAAAGAGAGGGAGGAGAGGAGCACTACTGCCTCTCCTTGCAGCCACGCAACACTGAGCTCCCATCTGTCCGTGCCACATATACAGATGCATCCCATTTCTGCATTTACCAGAATACATTGCCTCCAAACCTTTGGGATAAATACAAGTTGTTTATTGGCCCTTTGGCACAAAACAATATATTCTCATACAGGCCTACTTATCCATTGAAACAATCAAGAACCAGTCAAATTGGGCATTGCACATAAGCATTTAAATTGAAAAAATCTTACATTGGAATAAATTAATAATTAACCATCCAGCTGAAATTGAATTTTCAGCACATTTGAATCAATTAAAATGCCCTTTGGCCATTTTCATTTTTTATTTAGATTGTTTTTCTGTCATTTCTCAAGATAATCTGTTGCCACAGTAAAACCTGCCCTTCAAATGGTCAACTAAGGGACCACACAAACTATCATTCTATTTTATTATGCTTATTTTGTTTCCTGAATTGAATCCATCAATGGGTATCTTTTTTAAATGAGCTTGAGGGCTGTTACAACAGCGCCACCACCTTTAGTCATCTGGATGTGACCTGGACATTGTGGCTGCCATCACAATGACCAACTTGTTCAGCTAGAAGACCGGTTTCCAAGCAGCAGAGGTGGAGAGAGGGCCACATGCAGCCCCCCCTCCCCCTCCTCCTTCTCTTGATTCTTCACAGAAGATCTTTCCAGATGCAGCTTCTCATTCTTCATCAGCTCCCTCTTTTTTTTTAGATGCAAACTGTCAGATTCCTTCTTGAGCTCGAACACTTAATGCAGCAGCAGCAGCAGCAGCAGCAGCGTGTGTGTTTTTAAGGGAAGCTTTTAATCCAAGTGACCGAAGATCCAGGCCTTCGTCCCTTCCCCCTCTTCCTCTTCACAGCCCCCTTCCTCCTACTCCTCTTCCCTCCCCCCTTTCCCCGTTATGCTGAGGTTCTCAGTGTGTTGCCATGAAGACAGCCACATGGGTATGTTGTTGCTGTTTGTGTTTCAGGTGCAAACGCTGTACTACTCACCTGACCATAAGCTGGTGGATGGAGGGCTGGTGATTGATGGGCACAGTGAGGTGTTTGGTGGCGAGGAGGACCACCTTCAGTTTGTGCAGGTACTCAACAGCTTGTGCCTGGCTTCACTGTAATGAAGTCTCATTTTGCTTGGCAGTGTGTGCCTGGCCATGCATAAAAGTAATCGCAGCCTGTGCCTGGCAAGAAGTAGATATGGCTCATTTAATTCCACAATGTTAAGACAAATGTCAGTGAATAAACAAATGAGCAACGATGCCTGCCTAGCTATGCTGTTGAGCATATATTAAAACTACATTTTAATATTAAATGCTAATCTCCCCCAGTTGGGAATGGGCAGATTTCTACCCTCTTTGTGACTGAACTGTGTGCTGTTAGATCTGATTGTGGTGTGGTCTGAGACAGTAGTTTGCAGTGCTGTGTTGTTGGCTTCAGAAGGCGTGAGATATCAAAAGAAACGTCTACATTAGATCAGCTGGATCAGAGCGTAGTTTGGGGGTATGATTACCTGGTGTGGTGGCCACTGGTGGGCCTGTGGTGCAAGCTTGGCTTCTGTAGCTGCACTGTGCTCTTGCAGAAGAAACCCGTACGGGAGAGCACCCAGAGACAGATGAGCTGCAGCTCCTCGGGAAGCCTGTCGCCCTCCAACCAAGCAGCTAATGCGCCCAAACAGACCGGCCGGAGAGAGTGGAAGTACATCGCCTCTGAGAAGACCACAAGTAAGTGAACATGAACTGCAGTACATTCAGAAATATTGTTTTATTTAAATCCTATGCATGATTGAGGCTCCTTTTTTCAACACTCGAATGGCTCTAACGATCTCCAATCAAACCTCTAGACCACACCTACCTGTGTCTGGCTGTGCTGGATGGCGTGTTGTGTGTGATCTTCTTGCACGGTCGCAGCAGCCCTCAGACCTCCCCCTCTGCCACCCCCTGCCTGATGAAGAGCCTCAGCTTCGAGGCCCAGCCCGAGGAGCTGGAGGAGCAGCCGCTCTCTCCCATGCATTACGCTCGCTCCGGTCTGGGCGCCGTGGCCCTGAACGGAAGACTCATCGCAGCAGGTTAGCACTAAACGCTTCTATATCAAATGACTAAGGTCTATGTTATTGGAGCTAAAAGGAGGTTGTGATACTTGGGAAAATAAATGCTTCTCTCTAGGCTTGATTGCAAACATGATGACCACAGGGATCCACTGTCTTGAATGTGATACATTATCTTGTTCCCACAGGAGGATACAACAGAGAGGAGTGTCTGAGGACTGTGGAGTGCTACGACCCCAAAGAGGACCGCTGGACCTTCATTGCTCCCATGCGGACTCCAAGGGCTCGATTCCAGATGGCTGTGCTCATGGTACAATTACATTTTCATCCTGAAGCGACATTTTGAACATTGAGCAAGGAATCCAAATATCCACTGCATGCCTCCCTACTCCCTGTGCAACTAGTGGGGTTTCTAAATTCTCTTAACTTATTGTAATTGTCATAAAATAATGATTTTGATATTTCCGCCTCACAGGGTCAGCTGTATGTGATTGGAGGATCAAATGGACATTCTGATGAGCTGAGCTGCGGGGAGATGTACGATCCACAGGCTGACGAGTGGGCTCAAGTACCAGAGCTGAGGACAAACCGCTGCAATGCAGGTAGGTCCCTCGTTCTATACCTGATAATTGAATTTAAAAGTATTATCCAGGAAAACTCTTTCATCAAGTAGCCTCTCTGTTGCTAACGTCAAGCTAGTTTGACTATTCAGCTCATTCCTGTCTTATATTGTCCACAAATAGTTGTTTCTGTTTCAAATGTCTCACTATTGTTCTTGTCTAACTTTGTATTTGCATACTGTATCCATGTTAGTGTTGGAGCTTCTGCCCTGAGTAAATAAAGGTGTAATTCAGTCAACGTCTCTGTTTTTAAAGGCGTCTGCTCATTGAACAACAAACTCTACGTTGTGGGTGGGTCGGACCCCTGCGGGCAGAAGGGCCTGAAGAACTGTGATGCTTTTGACCCTGTGATCAAAACCTGGTCTAACTGTGCCTCCCTCAACATCAGTACGTTTACACATACACTAATAATATAGTACTAATATATATAATTTGAATATGTATAACATGGTCTAGCCTCAAGCATAAAGCTGAATAATGTATTTTTCAGAGATCTAACAAATTCCTGTCTTCCATACACTTTAATTATTCCCTCTGGGTGTTGCAGCTCAGAGAACATGTTATTCAAGACCAAGAGTTGGATGGCTATTCATCAGAGACTTGCTTGTGTGATAATTGCAGCCCGAGGAACAATTAGAAAGTTTAATTCATTAATCACATTTTCTTCTTCCAGGGAGGCACCAGGCTGCCGTGTGCGAGTTGGACGGCTTCATGTACGTGATCGGAGGGGCGGAGTCGTGGAACTGCCTGAACACTGTGGAGCGCTACAACCCCGAGAACAACACCTGGACCCTGATCGCCCCCATGAACGTCGCTCGCAGGGGGGCCGCTGTCGCTGTCCATGCAGGTCAGCTCAGGAAAACAATGAGCAGTTAAATCAGCTGCTGATCTATGGCAGCATCATGTGCAAAAATCAACAGGAAGCAGACAGTTATTTGTTTGTCATTATGTTGATAGTAATGTCTCCCCCTCTGTCCAGGCAAACTGTTTGTTATTGGCGGCTTTGATGGCTCCCACGCGCTCCGCTGTGTGGAGGTGTACGACCCCGCCCGCAACGAGTGGAGGATGCTGGGTAGCATGACGTCGTCCCGCAGCAACGCGGGCGTGGCCATGCTGGGAGAAACCATCTACGCTGTGGGCGGCTTCGACGGGAACGAGTTCCTCAACACGGTGGAGGTGTACAACCCCGAGACGGACGAGTGGAACGACTGCACCACGACCCTGTCTCCCCTCTCTGACTGAAGGGAGGAGGGAAGGGGGTTGGAGTTTCAGTGCTTTTCCAAACTAACAGGCTTAGTGACGTAATCGTGTTTCGTGATGTTTTGTCTGTGTGGGTGGGGATGGGGGATTGTTGTGATGAGGGGTCTTCAGTGAAGACTGGCTTGTATTTGGCGGGTGGGATAAAAGGGAGGGGGGCGGGGGGGTTGCCCAAAGCAACATGACGCCTTTGCATATTGCATACAATGTTTTTCGTGCTGTATATATTTTGTTTCTTCCTCATTTTTTGTCATATGCCAACATTTAATACACATTTAGTGCTTTTCTTTTTAACTTAGAGTTGAAAGGTTTTTCACTGGAGGGTTTTCAGATGAGCTAGCAGTTATCGGTCACTTGGAACCTGGCAGTATGGTGACAATTGGCTTTGAAGGTTTTATTTGTAGAAATGTTACTTTGCTCACATATAATGGTCAGTGGTTTGAAGCCTTACTCGGAGAGTGCGAGTTAGAAAAAGAAACACCTCAAGGCTATTTCTGTCATTTTAAACAAGCTGGATTGCTTTTTTGAATCTTAAATGGCCTTTTTTATATTTTTTTATACACTGCTGATTTACTGATAAAAGTAGTAGCAGATGGCTTGAAGTCAATGAATCTAACCAGTGCCAGTTTTAGTAATACCTTTGTGCACACACCACACACGCACAACCATGCTTCTGCTAACCAAACTTTTGTTATTGTGATTGAACTAATCAATGTATGTAGAGATGCGGTTTACTGAAGTTTCTTATTTCTCTTTTGTGTTTTAAAGTGTCAGGCATTGGCAGATTCTTCTGGAGGGAATGTTAAAAACGAGAATTAACACATTTGTAACATTTCTTAATTAATAAATCATTTAAATCTGATTTTGTCTCCAGCCTACTCTCTGAATGTATGTCATGAAGTGATAATGGACAATCACTTTGCCACACCTGATTCCATTGTTTGTATCAATCTAAAAGCAACTATGCCAGGATGGTTTTAATATTTTAAGTAAAATATGGAAGATGGTTAGCCTAGTTGTGACAGTATTTTTAGTTTAGCAGCTGAACAAACCCAAGTACAGCTGATTTGCTGACTCTAAATGTAGATTTTACTACCACCTCGACTTCCACATGTCCTGCTCTAACTATCTAGTAACTAAGTAGCGGTCTAAGCTTTCAGGGACTACCACACTAAGCCAAGTATTTTTCTGCTCCTCTAAGTGTCTTTTAGGGGAGATTATACTGAGCCGGCTCTCAGACCTCAGCAGGAAGGGACGCCAACGTCACTATGAGCTGCTGAGAGGACCAGCATCTGCATGACCTCAGTGGCGCTTTATTAAATCTCTACCCAGCACTCATTCATAAGTCAGGCCCTGATAATCTCTGTTGATACACCTCACAGTCATTGGGAGGAGGGGGGGGCAGCAGATGGGCCATGTGCTACCGGAAGCAGAGGCTTAAACTCAGACACTGAGTCTGTACTCTAAGAAGCAACAAATTATGTCGTCTAACGTCCATCCGGCCTTGTTTACTGGGAACAAGCTTTGCTGGCTTCCTCGCGGTTTGAAACAAAGAAGTGGCAAAAGTAACAAAAGCAAGGCCATAGTTTATTGTAAAGGCAACTACGAATGTAAATGCAGTATTACATGCATTTATAAAGCTCAAAGCGGATTAATGTAATGAGCTTCCTGTTGTTCATTATTCATATTTACAACCAGCACAGAAACACCTCAACAATTAAATAATCCAGAGGAGATGAACATTTGGGTGAAAATTAAGACATGTACAACACAATTTACAGAATAAAAGCTGTTTCATGGCAGATAAACAGTTTCTAAAGAGAGAAAAGGTACAAGTGATTTGAATTACAAGTTCCTGTAGTCTATGTATTAACAGTACTACAGGAATGCTCCTGTAGTATAAGACTATATTCCTGCTACTGCAGTATTTTTGACTTTTTTTTGGAATATTTTAATTATCCAGAATATTTATATTGTTTTTATTTGATATAATCATTTTCATCTTATGTGTAATTGTTATTTCTCTTTTCCACTTTTTAAGTATTTGTATTTTAATGTCTGAAGACACTGCTGCTTCTGTAACAAAACCATTTCCCAAATTGGGATCAATAAATTATATATCTATCGTTTTGCACATGCTGCGCTGGCATGAATATGGATTATATTTAGAAATTAATAAAGAGGACATTGAAAATTCAATGCACCCTTAATAAAGGATTGTGTTTTTTTTGGACAGTAAATACTGACGCAGGAAACTAAATTAAAGGTCACAGTCCAACTTTACTGAACAGTATGTTAAAATACAGCGTGTCTGCATAGCGTCCAACTCTGCTTTGAGATAACGAGACAGGAAGCTCAATGACTTCATCATTGGCACCTGTAACTTTTTCTCTCCCCTGTGTGTGTGTGTGTCTCTCACAGCAGCAGCAGGTGTAATCTCAGACTGTCACCTGCGACCTGATCCACTTAGTCATTACACACACATGCACTCACACTCAGGCCGTTTCTCAATCGCGAGTAAAACTGCTGCAGAGCAACTATTTCAAGTATATTACGTCATCGAGTGGCGCCGAAGGACTGTTTAAATGCATGTAAATCAAATCATAGACATTTATATATTTTATTAATTTATATATATCTATGAATCAAATGCCCAGCATTCTGCACCACTCTATGACGTAGTATACTTGAAATAGTTTTTTTTTTTTTATGTTTTATTGAACATTTTTAAAACATACAAAAGCTCGGTGAGGATATCATCAACTTATCAGCATAAGTGCAAGACATTCATTCACAATAAGAAAAAAAAAAACATAAATAATACATCCAATAAGAGCCAGGGGGAGAGAAAAAAGCATAAAGGCACAAAAACATTTAAGAGGCATTAAGCTTACTTAAAATAATAACCATTTGGAAATGTCATTGCAAATCTTTATAGACAT